TGATGCCCCTCAGTCAGCATTGCAGAGGGCGCCCACCCCGGCCGGCTCAGTGCAGCAATGCCATAGCTAGGGCAAACCTGCAAGTCTGCAGTGCCATCTTCTGGTAGGGTTGTGTACTGCGCTTACACCTATATTCTGCTCTCTCAGCAGGCCAGGATATTCAATTCATGTCAGGAATCAAAGGGAAAAAAGTTATTATTATACAGGATTTATATATTATTATACAGGATTTATATATTATTATTATTATACAGAATTTATATTAATATTATTATAAAGGATTTATATATTATTATTATTATACAGAATTTATATTAATATTATTATACAGGATTTATATATTATTATACAGGATTTATATTAATATTATTATACAGGATTTATATTATTATTATACAGGATTTATGGCGCCAACAGTTTGCTCAGCGCTTTACAATATAACGGGAGACAATACAGCAACAATACAGTTCAATATAAGAGGGATAGGAGGGCCCTGATCCTTAAAAAGGAACTCGTCAGGACTGAAAAGAGCTGCCAATGATAAGCTGAAGATGCCAACTTCCTAGCTGGTTAGACGCAGAACCAGAAAATTGCAGTTGGTACATCCATCTTTCATCCATTGGGGTCAGTGATGGACTGTTGGGACTTTAAAGGGGCAGCAGACAGTGCCAGAGTTATAAGGGGGCCGAAGGAGCAATTGCCCTGGACCCCCCTCTGCCATAGGGGGCCCCAGAATTCCTTTATTTTGAAAAAAAAATGTAATAATTACATTAGTTCATCCTGATTTAATATTCAAAAAATGGATGAGGGCTTCTGGACAGTTCTGATGCTCACGTGCCCATTGTAGGCTCTTTTGGCTCTGGCTATGGGTCAGCATGGGTACCCTGACAGGTCTGCGGCTACACAGCCCCGAACACAACACTAATGAGCCTTCCTCCCCTGCCCCCCACCTCCATCAATGAGCCTTCCCTCCCCCTCCATCAATGAGCCTCCCTTCCCCACCTGCAACGGATGAGCTTTCCCTCCCCACCTCCACCGATGAGCCTTCCCTCCTCACCTCCACCGATGAGCCTTCTTCCCCCCACTTCCATCGATGAGCCTCCCCTCCCCACCTCCATCAATGAGCCTTCTCCCCCCGACTTCCATCAATGAGCCTCCCTTCCCCACCTCCACCGATGAGCTTTCCCTCCCCACCTCCACCGATGAGCCTTCTCCCCCCCACTTCCATCGATGAGCCTCCCCCTCCTCACCTCCACCGATGAGCCTCCCCCCCCCCACTTCCATCAATGAGCCTCCCCTCCATCAATGAGCCTTCCCTCCCCACCTCCATCAATGAGCCTTCTCCCCCCCCACTTCCATCAATGAACCGCCCTTCCCCTCCTCCATCAATGAGCCCCCCCCATCAAGGAGCCTTCCTTCCCCACCTCCATCAATGAACCTTCTCTTCCCCACCTCCATCAATAAGCCCCTCCCACCTCCATCAATGAGCCTTCTCTTCCCCACCTCCATTAATGAGCCTACTCTTCCCCACCTCCATCAATGAACCTCTCTTTCCCACCTCCATCAATAAGCCCCCCCCCCCCCCCCCCCCAATCAATGAGCCTTCTCTTCCCACTTCCATCAATCAGCCTTGGCCACCCATAACCCTATCACTGGTTGGCCAGTTTTCCTTCCCGGGCCACTTTTGGTCAGTTCCAACCTTTGCAGACCGGGAACATCCCACAAAAGAGCTGCAGCTTTGGAGTTGCTCTGACCCCGTCATCTAGACATTACAATTTGGCCCTTGTCAAAGTCCCTTCAAACCTTACACTTGTCCGTTTATTCTGCTTTCCACACCTCAACTTCAGGGATAACATGTTCACTTGCTGCCGAATATATCCCACCCACTTTCAGATGCCATTTCATGGAGATAATCAATGTTCTTCACTTTACCTGTCAGTGGTCAGAATGTTATGGCCGATCGGTGTATATTAATCTGGCATACAGGTAGCAGCTCTCTGAGAATTAAAGGCTGGAAAGTCTACAGTGAGCCAATGACTGCTGGAAGCAGACGGGGTACATAGCAAACCTCCGTGATCGAAGGATTAGAGACAGGGGTGGACTGACAACTCATGGGGCCCCCGGGCAATAGGCGATCATGGGGCCCCTGTGTCCTTGCCCAAACTCAAAAAAGCCTAGGAAAAAGGTACCAGGGGCATCTCATGGGGCCCCCTACTGACCCCGGGCCCTCGGGCAGCGCCCGAATTTCCAAATGGTCAGTCCGCCCCTGATTAGAGGTGATCACAGCATTATTGGAGATGATTTATTGCTGGCACCATTTTAATTAACCCTTTCCTCAGCAGAGATTAAAGACTAGGCGCCCAGACCAAATGCAATCAAATCAACACACCTTGGATGAAGTGTATTGCTCATGCATTACCCAAATTGACCACCACCCCCCCCCAAACTTTTTTTTCCCCGCTTCCTGATCATGCCCATGCAGTATTTATTGTTCTTAATTACTCCAGTAACTTGAAGTTAGTGGAAGACAGCGTTGGAATGGTTTAACTGGTAGGTATCTCCATGGAGAATATGGGAAGAATCACTTCTGGTGGGTTGTCACCCAAGTGGTGGAGGGTGGCGATAGACTCCCTTGGGGTCTGGAACTCCTGCCTTTCTGACACAACGATGAGGTCATTTCATTAGAAGACACTCAGGTGAATATGAAGAAGTGCCTGGTGTCCTCCTGTAATGAGAAACTGCTTGTGTTACCCTGTGAGAACACCAAGGTTGTAAAATTCAGAGTTGACTGCTGAGAGGTCAGGTCTTGTTGACGTAGGTAGTCATGGCCAAAAACCTTGGCACCCCTGCATTTCTGTCAGCAGTCACTTATCAAAATCACTACTTGTCAGACTTGTAATAGAAGGAAGTGTGCCCCCATCCCTACAGTACACCATTGCGCCCCTCCTGGCCACCCCTTGTACTGGACCGGCTACACAGTGTGTGAAGCTAAAGAGTTTTTGGAAGGTGGAGTTCTGGAGATGAACAGTCATGGCCAAAAATCTTGCCCCCACCTCCATTTCTGTCAGATAATGCACCACTTGGCCCAGAAAATTGTTGCAATGACCACTGTTTCAGCATTCTCATGTTTTTTTTATTTCGTTTGTATCGGTACGACAAAATAAAGCGGAGAAACAAAAAGCCAAATCTGACACATTCCACGCAAAACCCCAAAAATGGACTGGACAAAATTATTGCCACCTTCTCAAAATTGTAAGAAAAAAGTGCATTTTATATTTGTGATGCTCCTGTAATTTGTCATTAAACTCCCCTGTATCAATGACCAGGTGCTGACAATATAGAAATCACACCGACAACCAGCTAAAAATGGTGAAATATTTACTCAGCCTGTCTGTTGGGTGTCTCTATGTGCCGCATGGAAAAGAGAAAGAGCAGCAAAGAATTGTCTTGAGGATTTGAGAATAAAAATGGTGGAAAAGCATGGACAATCTCAAGATTACAAGTCTATCTCCAGAGAGCTTCATGTTCCTGTGTCCACTGTGTGCAACATTGTCAAGAAGTTTACAACCTGTGGCACTGTAGCTAATCTCCCTGGATGTGGACGAAAGAGAAAAATTGTTCAAAGACTGCAACAAAGGATTGTTGGAATGGCAGATAAAGAACCTCGATCAATTTCCAGACAAATCCAAGCTGACCTCCAGGCACAGGGTACAACTGTGTCAGCTCACACTATACATCGCCATCTGAATGAAAAGGGACGCTATGGTAGGAGACCCAGGAGGACCCCACTGCTGACACAGAAATATGGGAGGAGACCCAGGAGGACCCCAATGCTGACACAGAAATATGGGAGGAGACCCAGGAGGAGCCCACCGCTGACACTGAAATATAGGAGACCCAGGAGGACCTCACCGCTGACACAGAAATATGGGAGGAGACCCAAGAGGACCCCACTGCTGACACAGAAACATAAAAAAGCCAGGATTAGAGTTTGCCAAAACTTACCCAAGGAAGCCAAAATCCTTCTGGGAGAATGTGCTGAGGACAGACAAAACAAAATGACTGCATTTTGGTAAAGCCCATCATTCTACTGTTTTCAGAAAAAGCAATGAGGCCTTTGAAGAAAAGAATCCAGTCACACATGGTGGGGGGTCAATGCATGGCATTGTGAAATCTGAAGGCGACCAAAGGATTCTGGGATGCAATGTAGAGCCCGGTGTCAGAAAGTTGGGTCTCCGTTAGAGGTCATGGGTCTTCCAGCAGGACAATGACCCAAAGCACACGTCACAAAAAGCCCCCAGAAATGGTTTCAGACAAAGCGCTGGAGAGGACTGAACTGTCCAGCAATGAGTCCAGATCTTAATCCCATAGAGCTCCTGTGGAGAGACCTCAGAACAGCAGTTGGGAAAAGGAACCCTTCCAATCTGAGAGACCTGGAGCAGTTGGAGAAAGAAGAGCGATCCAAAATTCCAGTAGAGAGATGGAAGAAACTCATTGATGGTTACAGGAAGCCATTGATTTCACTTATTTTTTCCAAGGGGTGCGAGACCAAATATTAAAATTGAGGGCGCCAATAATTCTGTCCAGTCCATTTTTGGGGTTTTGCGTGGAATTTGCCAGAGTTGGCTTTTTGTTTTTCTCCACTTTCTTGCATCACACCGGTACAAACAGAAGAAAGAAACATGAGAATGCCAAAACATTTGTAACTGCAACAATTTTCTGGGCGTAGTGGGGCATTATCAGATAGAAATGCTGGGGTGCCAATATTTTTGACCATGACTGTACATCTCCAAAACTACACCTTCCAAAAGCTCTTTAGCTTCACAGTGTGTAGCAGGGCCAGTACAAGGGGTGGCCAGGAGGGGCGCAATGGTTTACTGTAGGGATGGGGGCACCTTCCTTCTATTACAAGGCTGACAGGAGTAGAGATAGTGCAGTGCTTCTCAATTATTTTCTGTCATGCCCTCCCTAGGAAGAAGAAAACATTTCGCGCCCCCCCCGCGCGACTGTAAATGGTATCATTTGGGAAGAATAGCGCCCCATCATTGGTGTCGGTGGGAGGAATAGTGTCCCAACATTGGTGTCAGTGGGAGGAATAGTGTCCCAACATTGGTGTCAGTGGGAGGAATAGTGTCCCAACATTGGTGTCAGTGGGAGGAATAGCACCCTGTCAGTGGGGAGAGGAATAGTGCCCCATCATTGGTGTCAGTGGGGGGGAGGAATAGTGCCCCATCATTGGTGTCAGTGGGGGGGAGGAATAGTGCCCCATCGTTTGTGTCAGTGGGAGGAATAGTGCCCCATCATTGGTATCAGTGGGAGGAATAGTACCCCATCATTGGTATCAGTGGGAGGAATAGTGCCCCATCATTGGTGTCAGTGGGAGGAATAGTGCCCCATCATTGGTGTCAGTGGGAGGAATAGTGCCCCATCATTGGTGTCAGTGGGAGGAATAGTGTCCCATCCTTGGTCAGTGGGAGGAATAGTGTCCATTCATTGGTGTCAGTGGGAGGAATAGTGCCCCATCGTTGGTGTCAGTGGGAGGAATAGTGCCCCATCGTTGGTGTCAGTGGGAGGAATAGTGCCCCATCGTTGGTATCAGTGGGAGGAATAGTGCCCCATCGTTGGTATCAGTGGGAGGAATAGTGCCCCATCGTTGGTATCAGTGGGAGGAATAGTGCCCCATCGTTGGTATCAGTGGGAGGAATAGTGCCCCATCGTTGGTATCAGTGGGAGGAATAGTGTCCCATCGTTGGTATCAGTGGGAGGAATAGTGCCCCATCGTTGGTATCAGTGGGAGGAATAATGCCCCATCATTAGTATCAGTGACACCAATGATGTGGCACTATTCCTCCCACTGACACCAATGACACTTGCTGACCCCTGTTGCAGTATGGTGCTGCTGCAGCCAGCATATGTGGTTGCAGCAGCACCTCTGCACTGCACACTTACCGGCTTTTTTCCGCGCGGTTCCGCCTCCTCGCCCGTGATTGGCCGCCTGTGTACCTTTCCTGAGCTACAGTTCTGGCGGCCAATCACGGGTGAGGAGGCGGAGCCGAGCGGCAGGAGTGAGGGAGTGGCCGGAGTGACGGAAGGAGCAGCGCTTCCTGGATGGATCATCGTGGGAGCCAGGTAAGAGACAGCAGCCCTCTGCCCACCCCTGTACTTAGTGTCCCTTCTGTCGGAAGGGGGGGGGGCAGCACCACCCCCCTAAAAAGTTCCACCCTAAAGTATACCGGCGTATAAGACGACCCCCGACTTTTGAGAAGATTTTCAAGGGTCAAAAAGTCGTCTTATACGCCGGAAAATACAGTATGTTCCCCGAGGTCAAACGCGCCCCCCTTGACAGAGCCTTGCGCCCCACTATTTGAGAAGCACTGAGATAGCGGCAGTGATTTTGATGAGGGACTGCTGGGCATAGGATCCCCTAAGTTTGCACATCACGAATGGGGGAAGTGGGGCACAGTTTGGAATCTTTGCCCTGGGCACTGGATGACCTTGTCTTGGCACAGGTGCATGGGCATGCTCTTGGGAGCAACATAAATTGGAAAGAAAGATATCGAATTATGCATTTGGAGAGCAACAGAGAGGGGTAGGGCACTGTTTGGCATTTCAGTGCAGTAGAGACCCCCGTGTTGTCAGCCCAAACAGGAACGTAGGCACTCACAGGGTTTTCTTGCAGATCAGCAGATATTTTTTCGCACTCGGATACAATGTGGAGACGTGTATCGAGTGTTAGGGTGGCTCCACTCTATGGGGGGGGGGGTTTAAGGGAGCCATCCTTGGATAGCCGCAATATCAACCAGTGAATAAAGGAAGTGTTAGACGTGCTAACAAATTTAAACAGTCTTAGAGATTGGCGAGAACCTCCCTGTGGCCCCAGGGAGAAGGGAGGGACCTACTGGAAAGGTAAGTGAGCCAGTCAGAACTGCTGGAATAGTAAAGCCAGGGAGTACGAACAGGATACAGGCCTTCAAAGAGGTAAGGAGCTAGGATCGAATGTGGGTGGCAGGATGTTCTCTAGCCACGGGGGACTAGGCTGACCCTGTCCAACTTATCTTCTCGCGGAGCAAGAACATCCTTTGGATAACCCTGTTCTTTGAAGGTTAATGAGATCGTCCTCCATGCCTTTGCTATACGTCTCTTAATAGTGAAAATAAGACTTTGAACCCTAGTCTGGTGCAGGTCATAGGTAGTTTGCAGAGTAAAGCTTCCACATTTTGTGCAAGGAGCTTGCCTAATACACTGTTCCAGAACGGCTGGACCATGGGGACAGTCCCCCCCCCCCCCCCCCCCCCATTGCAGCTAGAGGTTCCAGGCAAGTGGCAGCCTCTGAAGCACATAAAGGGAGACGTAGAGATTGCCTTTGAGACACAGGCGGGTAGGAGGTACCAATGAAGCAAAAGCTTGTAAAATTTGCCCCTACAGCTAGCACATGGGTCAAGCTTTTAGATGTTGCATTCAGTAGAGTCCCATTCCTTTCCAGTGCACATTCTGTAAGCAACTCCTATTTGCATTTGTGGTACAAGAAGGATGGGAAGATGTTTTGGAAGATAGCAATTGTAGATCTAGTGATATACCCAGTAAACCGATATGTTTGAAGTCCATAGAATAGCATGGAGTATCTGCAAGCATGATAGAGGAAATAAGTGGTTTGACTTTGGGCACCTGATAATCATTTGTTACATGAGGCAGACTACACTCAACCAGATATTTAGGCCTATACTGTTCCTCATGACTCTAAACCTAGAGCTCACCCGACACAAAAATGTTAGGATTCAGGATTGTAGCAATCGGAACTGAAAGGTTTGTATCCAGGTCAGCAGAGATTTGGCCAACAGGATTATTTTTGGTAACGGTGATTTTGCCTAACCCCCAAGATGTGATGGTCACCTGTTATTTGAAATGCCCGATGATAGATTCTCTCCCCCCCCAAAGCATACAACCACCCGGCTAATACCAATCGTCACCCCATTAATCATGGGGAGGTCCAGGGGGATAGTTATCAGGGCTCTCTGCATGTTTCGACATTCTCCTGAGACTGCAGCATAGGGTTTCAGAGCCCAGCCATGTTCTCAGCACCATCTGGCCTTCCATGTGTCTGATGTGGCTCCAACTATCCTATATTCATGGACTTCCTGACCTCCTTTTCTGCATGTTTGAGAGTGCATATTTTTTCAATTAGATATTTTTTATTACTGAATTTTTTATTCAGTTTCTTTACACTGGGCTTACATTCTACTTGCCCATAGTTAGCTAACTTTGTACTCAAACTTTAGGGCCTTCTCTTCGTATCCACAAGTCTACCCCCAGCTACATCACCAACCTGGTCTCAAAATATCAACCAAACCACGCTCTTCAATTCTCCAAAGACCTTCTGCTCTCTAGTTTCCGTGTCATCTCCTCCCATGCTCACCTCCAGGACTTCTCCCAAGCTTCTCTCACCCTACCCCCAATCTGTCCAGCTGTCTCAATCTATCCACCTTTAGACAATCCCTGAAAACCTCTTTAAAAAAGCCTCTCCTGCTTCTACCTAGTAAACAGCCCTTTATTTTGGCCATCAGCTCCTCCCCCCCACAGCTATTACCTTTTGTATCACTCAAACCTTCATTACCTAGATTGTAAGCTTTAACGAGGCGGGCCCTGTTTCCTCTTGGGCACTATGACTCCCACCGACGGGGCACTATTCCTCCCACCGACAACATTTTCTACTCCAGCCGTAAATTAGACCAGCATCCACTTCAGTGGTAGATTATGGCAACATCCATCATTCCAGTAGTCTGTTATCTAAGCAGCTAGAATACAACTATCGCAAAGTTGTAAAGTTCTCTGCACAGGAGTGCCAAGTCCAATTTAAACTGAAGTGGTGCTACACTGCCCCCAATCACAGGTACATATGGTAGCCAAAATGAGCCCACAGTTGTTCCCAGCTCTCCTACTGGATCCTTCTTTGATAGATTAGTTCTGGTGGAGTGGGCATCTTGAATAAAATCTGCTGTTCCCAAGGGTAAAGTGCCAAAAAGACATGATGGTGGCAAGTAAACCCAATATCTTGGCTTCCACCTGCAGTGCCATCATCCCTCCTGGACAGATCTTGGAGATTGAGGCAACTCATGGAGAAGAATATTCTCCTGTATAGCATCTACCTCAGCATTCCTAAGGGCCTTTTCTTCAGGTGGACAACATTATCTCCTGCACTACAGAAGGTACGTAAAAAGGACGAGTATGTCATCTACCCCACTTAGGATGTTTTGAGCACTCTTATGAAGAGCTTAAGAGTGAAATATGACCAATGCTCGTTTGATCACCTCAACTTTTGCACTCCTGTGGCTCAGAATCAGCTGGCTGTGGACTAAAGAGCACTTCCGGGTGACGTCACAGATTTGATCCAGTCTGAGAACATCAACAATAGTGTTGGTATCTACCAGGATTACGGACCAGCAGCTGGCTCAGCCTTTCCACACATTTGATGAGAACCTGAGCTAGCTGCTCCCTGCCCCAGCAGATGCTGGAGGGGCAGAGTAGAGAGCAGTGACCGACAGTCACCACTGGGCTTAAAAACAGACCCAAGAACTGAGCGTGATCAGCAGCCATGTGATGGCCATCTCATGACTGCTGATCGCCAAGTTCTCTGGCTTAGAGGCTGCAGCATCAAACCAATCAAGTCCATTACTTCCTGCACTTTAACCCCTTCACGCCAGCACTTCCCAGCCCTTTAAGGGTTCCAGAAGCTGGGAGGCAGGGCAGGGTTTAGGGTCATGTGACCGCCGTGACATGATCGGGAAAGGTTCCGAACGAAAGAGATCGGGACCTTTCCGTGAGTACCAGACGTGTGCTGGGGGCGTGCACTCCCGGCAGGTTTTTTTTTTAATAGAACGCAAATGTGCGGCCACTCTGCGTCTAGGCCCAGATGCCAGGAGGCCGCACATTTGTGTACAACTGGTGTGAAGAGGTTAAGGATGGGGGGCCACATTATGGGCTCCTTTGCACTAGCATTAGCCCTCTGAAGAGCAATCCACAGTGGGTGTTTAGAAGCAGTACAGAGGCATTAACCCCTAAAATGCCACACAACTGGATGCATTGCAGCTCTCATTTACTTGAAGGGGTTGCAAGCAGTAGAACCATCTGCCAAATGCAAAAGGAAGTGTCATTCTCGCAATGGATTTTAAACAAGCCCAATACTGGGCCATGCTGGATTTAAACATTAGAACTTTATTTACACATGTCAGAGACAGTCAGTATAGAGAGCAGGTGGCCTGAATACAAAACATGTTT